TGAGATTCCTTCTATTCTGAATTTTTGCCACTCCTTAGAGAGTGGTGGACATTTTGGACCATATAGGACAGCCCATAAAGTGATGGAATCTGGTTTTTATTGGCCTACTATACATAAAGATGCTGCTGATTTTTGTAACAAATGTCCTAAATGCCAAAAAACTGGTAATCTTTCCTCTAAGAATCAAATGCCCTTGACTCCTATTTATGTGTGTGAACTGTTTGATGTATGGGGTGTTGATTTCATGGGTCCTTTTCCTCCTTCTTATGGTTATGTTTACATTTTGCTCTTTGTTGATTACCTGTCTAAGTGGATTGAAGCTATACCAACCAGGAAAGATGATGCTCAAACTGTGGCTAAGTATGTTAGATCTCACATAATCCTTAGATATGGATTTCCTAAGATTCTCATTAGTGATAGAGGCACTCATTTTTGCAATAGAACATTAGAGAACCTTTGCTCTAAGTATCATATCACCCATAGGATTTCCACTGCCTATCACCCCCAAACCAATGGACAAGCCGAGATAAGCAATAGGGAAGTGAAGAGTATTTTAGAAAAGGTAGTGAGACCGGATAAGAAATATTGGAGCGATCGATTAGACGAGGCTTTATGGGCCTATAGAACTGCATATAAGACTCCTTTAAGTATGTCTCCCTACAGGATAGTGTTTGGAAAACCTTGTCGCCTTCCGGTAGAATTAGAACATAAATCATATTGGGCTGTTAAACAAGTTAATCTTGATTATGATTTGGTAGGAAAACACAGAAAACTGCAGATTCAAGAGCTTGAGAAGATTAGACTAGAAGCTTATGATAACTCAGTGATATATAAGGATAAAGCAAAAGCCTTTCATGACTCTAAGCTTTCTAGATAACACTTTGAGATAGGAGATAAAGTTCTTCTTTATAACTCTAAGCTTAGACATTTTCCAGGAAAACTTAGCTCTAGATGGTTAGGACCCTACACCGTTATTAAAACTTATAACCATGGAGCGGTAGACATTAAGAATGAATCCTCTGGAGTTACTTTCAAGGTAAATGGTCATAGGTTAAAACTTTTTCGTGAGGGAGGATTTGCAGGATTAGTGGGGGAGTTAGAACTAGAAGCCGAACCTTAGAACTCTTCCTAGTTTCGTCTAGCCAAAGACGTTAAATCGGGCAGCTTATGGGAGGCAACCCACCTACTTTTCTTGCTCTTTCTTTAATTTTATTGCTTATTAATCTTTAGCTTTTGTTAAAAACACAAAAAAAAAATGAAAAAAAAAACTTCATCATCAAGAGTACTTAGAATACTGCTGCTTTAGCTGTTTCTTAATGGTTTATTTTTGCTCCATTTATGCTTTTAACCATTTATTTGAGTGAAAACTCAAGGGCTATTAAGTCATAGGTAGAAGCATGTCCTTTGGAGTAAAAATCTGCACACAGGTGTGAAATCTGATCCAAATCAGTAGCTCCAGCCTCTCAGTATCTCAGGTTTGGGCTTCAGTTTCCTTATCCTTTTTGTGTTCAAAGTTTGGTTTCTGATATTACAGTTTGCACAATGAGAAGTTGCACTATAAAGTCATAATTTTGCTTGCAAAAGTGAATAACCTACCCATTCAAATCTGATTTTTGAGCTTCAATGGTAAATATCTACATTATTAATGTGCAAAATTCTGATCCAGATCAGCGGTCTCAAGTACCTAATGGTTGCTTTGTTGAAAATATCACCTCTCGGGTGTTATAATATGGTCATATTTAAGCTGAAAATTGAGACATGTGCATTGTTTATAGCTGATTTTTGGATACTAAGGAAAAATTCTGCACTTTGAAAAGTTATTTTTGGACTTGTAAGCTGATTTTTTGAGTGCAAAATGCAAATTTTACACTTTTTACAGCTTATAGGTGCTAAAATAGGAAAAAAATCTGCAATCTTTTCTTGGTGTTCAATCTGATTTTTGAGTTCATCCGATGCATATGTGCTGAATTATGATGTTTAATAGATGCATATGAGCTGCTTTGCACGTGCATGACATAACTAACCTTCTCATATGCAGCATTTTGTTTTGAAAAGTGCAAAAAAAGCACAAGAATTGGTTTCCAGAACCAAATTTGAAGCTTAAAATATACATTCTTTAAATCTGATTTTTATCTCTTCAAAGCTAAAAAGACTTGGTCTTAGCCATGTTTTTGCAGATTTTGGGTCCACCAAACACATCAAGGAGAGGAAAGTGATAAATTGATGCTGCGTATACTTTTATTTGTTGAATTCCCCAATTCCCTTTTCTCTTTGCTTATTCTCTTGGTTATATCATTATGATTTATTTGCATATCATATAGATGCATTGGGGACTATGCATATTTTAAGTGTGGGGGAGTTGCTCATGCTTGTGTCATTGTTTTAAAAAAAAAACTTTTGGGGCAAATTTTTTTTCAAAAAAAAAAAAGGTTTTGGGTCCAAATATTTTCATTCTTAGTTGCATATCTCCTTATTTAGAGCATTGTTTTCAAAATTTGACCCAAAAACCTCATTGTTTTTCTTGGGGCTTAATTCTGAAAGATGGCAAGTGTATACTTTATAAATCTACATTGAGTCTTATGCTCTTTTCTTGGTAAAATGACCCTTAAAATGTTTGAAATCCTTCTAGGAATCCCATAGAATTTTGTTTTCTAGAACTGGCCATCCACATATTATCTAGATGCTGCCTAATCAACCATTGCGTGATATTAAAATCTGAAAAAAAACCAGAGAGAAACCAGTTTTAGGAGCCTTATATTTTTAGAAAAATGTGCGATTTTTATATTTTTAGGCTTATTGATGAACCTTGCTACCGCTGCTATTGAGCCGCTCTAAACCATAGGATTCCGCTAGGAAACTTTTTTGTAGCAGCTTTAGAGCATTTGTTAGGACCCAAAAAAAATCCACACCTTAGTTTTCCATCCTTTTAGGATTTCTAGCTCACTTTGTTTTTAAAATATGAATGAGCATAAAGTCTTAAGTGTGGGAGTTTAAAGTTCACTTTGTTTCTTCTTGATGATGATAAAAAGAAATAATATATTCCTTTTGGCCCTTGAACGAGGACGTTCAACTCTTAAGTGTGGGGGTATTTGATAACTCGGGTTTGGGTTAATATTTTTAATTCTCTTTTTGGCATTTTTAGTACTTTTATTGTTTAATTTTCATTTGTTTAGCTTAGTTTTATTTTAATTCCTATTATTACAAATCTTTTATTTCCATTCAAAAATAGTTGTTTTTAATCTTTTTTTTACATGTTATTATTTTGATATTTTTATTTTTTCTAACCCAAGTTACCAGATATCCTATTTGTTTTGGAATAAATTGCAGTAAAAGGCCAAATTGAAGCTCAAGTTTGAAAAGAGAAGATTGAGTTTGGACCGGAGCCCAAACCCATCATCAACAACTCAATTAAACAAAGATAAGCCCAAGTCTCCTTCCCCCAAATTCAAACTCACGCAAGAAAAAAAAATGCTTCCTGCGATTGAAGCTAGCGCAAGACCAGGAGAGGAGCAGCGACCTATTCAAATCGGTAGTAACGCATCTCCTTCAACGTTCGGCCATGAATTGCTCTCCAAATCAAGTCAACAACGGCTCCTTGTTCTCTCTCTTCACTCAAAACGCTCCAACGGAAAAAAGTTCCTCTCGTCTATAAATTGGACAAGGAATAGCAGCAGAGGAGGGGGAAACGAACCAGAGAGCTCCATTCTTCAGTTTCTTCATCTTCTTCTTCTATAGGTATCCAAATAAATTGGCTTCCGGACTTAATCCGGAAGTCAACCCTTTAAATTTTCAATTCTTTTGTTGTTTCTATGTTCAAGTGTTGTTTTTTTTCAATATATCATTTTTTTTGTTACTTGTTCATGTAATAGAATCTGAAAAAAATATAACGGTTGGTGTTCTTTTGGGTGTATGTTCTAGTTTTAAATGTTTATATACAATCCCTTATGAATGAGAATTAATTCTTTCTTATTTACTTCAATTATTGCACAAGTTGGTGTTGATTTGATTTAATTGTTTCAAATTCATAAGTAGGTTTTATGTAGAATTCGGTTTTTGTTGAAGCTATTTTAGCTCCATAAGATAGTTAAATGAACTCCGAATTCATACGTGTTTATTTGTTGTGCACGTGTTCGTTGATTTTAAGGATTTTGGACTTCTTAGCCCCATAAGTTGATTCATTTTCCTTAGAATTCGTTATAAACTGATTTTGTTATGTTATATGTTTGTTTTCCATTTTCTTTAAGTTGAGATTGTTTAAGTGCAATAAACAAATCTTTATTTATTGAAAATACGTTGTGTTCTTCTATGTGAATAGAAAAACGTCATTGGTTTGAGAAGTTCATGGAAATCTGTGAAATGTGCTCATCATTAGGAGAAAAAGTTTATTAAAATACATAAGGTATTGGCGGTTTGTGAATAGATTATGTATGAGAGTTGAATGCATAATAGATTCTCTCTTTTATAAACTTTTTCTATAGTGGAAGTATGTTTTCATGTTTGAATAGAGAGTTGGGGTTCTAAGGTATATTTCAAAACGGGCCTTTGAATTGCATGACTTCGGGCCATGTGGAGAGTTGACAATCCTCCATATCGTGGTTAAGGAAATGAATCGACTCGGCCTTTGATTGTTTTTCCTATTCTTAAGTGCATAAGTTACGTAATATATTGTCTACGTGCCTATTATACGTGTAATGTTCGATTTGTGTTCGTTTTTTTAAATTTTGTTTCGGGTTCTTGGCGGTGTTTTTCGAGTTACCTCGGTTGAAGAAGTTGATTATCTTTTGAGCTTGTTTTCCCCCATTTTATAAAAAAGAACCAAAAAATAAGAAAATATAAAAACCAAAAATATTTACTTTTTATTCAACCCCCCCTCGTGTTTCAAGTTATAAATATAAGTTTTTATACCTTTTTTTAGTATATCTTAAGTATGTGTTTTATGTTTTTAGTTATATTATAGTTCTTTGTTTATATAAGTTATATTTATAAGTTTTTAAATTTATTTAGTTATAAGTTTTATTATAAGTTTTATAAGTATTGTCATTTGTGTAGTAGTTTGTTTTTTTTATATTTATTTTCGTGACAATGTGTTTGCATGCTAAATTGGTTTTAAAAAGTACAACATTTCTCCGTGGGATCGACCCCTACTTGCCCTAGCTATAGTTTTTATTTGATTATATCTTGGGGGTTAGTTAAGGATATTTATAAATTTTTAATTTGTTTTGGACCGCACGACAAGTCCCCAACATGGCTTGATCAAGAATTTCCACTCGGGCAAGTTTTGAAACATGCTCGGGGGCATAATGCGTTAATTTAGAGAGAAGGTCTGCATCCGCGTTTTCTGCTCGGGGAATCTGGGCGATTTTGAATTCCGCAAAGCCTTTCAACAAAGCTAGCACCAGATCCTTGTACTGCGCCATTCGTCTTTCCCTTGCTTCCATATTTCCGGTCACTTGCCCAACAATCCAAGTAGCGTCAGATTTTATACTGACCCGGTTGATTTTAAGTGCTCGGGCAAGTCGAAGTCCTCTAGCGAGAGCTTCATATTCTGCTTCATTGTTTGTCAATTTGAAGTTGAAGACGAGCGCATGGTAGATCTTGAATCCTTCGGGAGTGGTAAACACTATGCCGCCTCCATATCCTTTAGGGCCAGATGCCCCATCCACGGCCATTTCCCACCATTGCTCAGTGGGCTGACTAACCGGTAGGTCTGTAGTTAGACCGGTCATTTCTACCAGGAAATCTGTAAGGGCTTGTCTTTTGATTGCTGATCTTGGCCAGTACTCAATGTTAAATTGAGTTAACATCATTGCCCATTTCACCATCCTCCCGGAGGATGTTGAATTTCACAATACTACACCCAGTGGTTGATCGGTCAAGACTTCAACCAGGTGAGCTTGGAAGTACGATGTTAACTTCTTAGTAGAGATGAAAAGCACATATGCTGTCTTTTCCATCGCCGTATATCTACTTTCTGCTCCGTTTAGTACTTTGCTCACATAATAAATAGGCTTTTGTGCCCCATCATCTCTTATTAAAACGGAGCTTACAACATTCGGAAAAATCCCTAGGTACAGATACAGATTTTCACCTGGTTCGGGTTTTGACAATACAATGTCTGACACTAGGTACTCCTTCAGCTCCTCAAATGCCTTCTGGCAGTCTTCGTCCCAAGTGAATGTGTTGGCCATCTTCAGGACTTTGAAGAAGGGCATGGATCTCTCAGCTGAATGGGACAGGAACCTGCTGAGGGCTGCTAGACGACCGGTCAACTTTTGCACATCCCGAACTGAGGTGGGAGCTGGCATCTCTGTGATAGCCCGAATTTTTTCTAGGTTGGGCTCTATCCCTCTCCTGGTTACCATGAATTCTAAGAACTTCCCGGTATGAACCGCGAAGACGAATTTGTTGGGATTCAACCGGAGGTTGTGTCTTGCCATAATATTAAATGTCACACGCATGTCAGCCGGGTGGTTGAGAGATACCTGGCTTTTGATTAGCATGTCATCGACGTATGCTTCCATGGTCTTCCCTAGCAGTGGCTTGAAAAGTTTGTTTACCATGCGCTGGTAAGTTGCTCCTGAATTCTTCAGGCCAAATTCCATTACCCAGTAACAGTAGGTTCCTTCGGGTATGAGGAATGACGTCTTCTCTTCATCTTCCTTGGCCATGTAGATTTGGTGGTAACCCTTGAAGGCATCCATGAAACTTAGGAGTTCGCACCCCGCAGTTTCATCACCATTTGATCTGGACTGGGCAGGGGGTATGAATCCATCGGACAGGCTTTGTTTAAGTCCGTGTAATCCACACACATCCTCCATGTGTCGCCCTTGGGGGTCAGGACCATGTTGGCCAACCAATCTGAGTATTTGACTTCCCGAATGTGACCCACGCTAAGGAGGTCCTTGACTTCCTTTTTAACGAAGTCTTGACGATCGCTAGCCAGGTATCTTTTCTTTTGGCGTACCGGTCGAGATCCTTCTCTCACAGCCAACCGGTGGCAGATCATTGAGCGATCAATGCCGGGCATATCTGCTACGCTCCATGCGAATATGCTGGCATATTCTTGGAGGACACGGGTTATCTCCATCTTGAGATCCTCTGGTAGATTTGCTCCAATTCTGACCATCTTTGAGGGATCACCCGGGTCGAGTTTGATCTCCACCGTTTCAGCCTCGGGCTCCAGCTTCTCCCGGGTCTCTCCCTTTGTGATTTCTTGGGAGATGACGTTGACCCCCTTCGTCATCTTTTTCACTGCCCGGGCATAGCACTCATGGGCATTCCTCTGGTCGCCTTTCACCTCTTTCACACCGCCTGGCGTGTGGAACTTCATGCACAGGTGAGGCATGGAGATGACCGCTCGGACTTTGTTGATGCCCGGTCTTCCTAATATTGCGTTGTGGACGCACTTGATGTCCACAACGATGAACCGCATCCTTTTCCACACAGTTTTGTCCCCCGATCCGAGTTCGACCGGTAGGACTATTGACCCTTCGGCTTTGACGGTATCTCCCGTGAAGCCTGAGAGAGGAGTTTTCAAGGGCTCAAGTTGGGTCCGACACAACCTGAGTTTCTAGAAAGTCTCCAAGTACAGAATGTTGACACTGCTGCCAGTGTCAACTAGTACCCGGACGACATCCACCCCGTTAATGTCCATGGTGATGACCAAAGGATCATTATGATCTTCACCTATATCTGGAAGGTCCCGGCCAGTGAAGACGATTGGTTCCCTCCTGGTCTGCTTTCGCCTGACTGGGTCAGCACTCACTTCTCCGACGTAAATGCTGCGGTCCTAGTTCTTCCGCTGCGCGGCCGAATCTCCACCTACAGGTTCACCAAAGATCATTCCAATGTGCTCTTTGTCAGGGGCAGGCTACTGCTCTCTCTACCGGTTATTCCTTCGCCGGTCATTGTCCCGGTCATTCCCCTGGGCTGCTGGTCTGATCCACTGATGATTCTTCTCCTGGATCTTCTGCAAGTATTCCTTGCCCAACTCTCCACTAGATATCATTTTCCGGACGACCCCCCTAACACCTTTACACTCCGAAGTGCTATGGGAGTCAGATTTATGGTACGAAAAATACGTGTCCGACCACTGTCTCCCTGGTTGACCGGTAAGATTTACCAGAGGGCTGACCAGTGTTTTCCTTATTTCTTAGCATTCTCCAGTATTGACCACACGGATGACTGGGTCATAGTGGTGTGTTGGCCGGCTAGGTCCCGGTGCTTCTTCCTTCTTGACTTATACAGGCTTGGGCTTGAAGTCATGCTCAGCTTCTTTCTTTGCCCGAAGCTGGGTTTCAGCCTCCGCGAATTTCCACGCCGTATGGTAGGCTTCCTAATACGTGGCCGGGGGTTTCCGGCAGAACTCTTTGTACAGTTCCTTGGCACGTAAGCCATTCAAGAGGAGAGACAAGACTGTCTTTTCATCCATCTCTTCAACCTTGTCCACCTCTTCTTTCCACCGGGTAAGGAATTGAGTGAGGTTCTCAGATCCCCTCTGCCTGGCTATACTAAGATATGTGAACTTCTTCCTCTTAGTACATTTCTCCTAGAACTTGGCCTTGAATTTTGAGGCCAAGTTGCTGAACGAATCAATGCTTCTTGGGCGAAGCTTGTTAAACCATTCAGTAGCTCGATTCTACAAGGTTTTGAAGAAAAGGAGGCACTTTTCTTCGTCTGTGCACCTGTTCATGGTTGCACTCTGATTGAAGGAATCCAGGTGGATTCCTGGATCCTCCTTCCCGGTAAACCTTGGGGCGTCTATCTTGACCTCTCGCAGGAAAGGTGTCACATGGACCCTCGTAGTGAACGGGGACCCAGCTAGGGGTTTATCCCGGTCACTCTTCTCTCCAACTTTCTTCCCCAACCTCTCAAGTTTTGCCTCCATATACTGGAAGCGATCACCCGGTATGGTCAGCCGATTAATCACCGGTCCCCGGGGTTGGCTCTTTGCTTCTTCTTCCTGGCGTGAAGCCCTTGTTTTCGCAGGCTCCTGATGGTTCGACCGGGAGCGCTGGGTACGGGCAAGCTCGGCCTCCCTCCCCTCTCCTAGCCAGGCGAAAGCATTAACATGGGCAACGCTCTACCCCAATCTTAGCTTAGCCGACTTCCTCTAACCCTCTTCCCTATCTCCAAGCCTTTCGAAGGCGGATTTTCGGGAAGTTTTCGACCTGAGGGCCTTTCCCTTTTTCTTCTTGTGGGCCATGGGGACGTCCCACTCTTCATAATCACTTTCCACAGAGATGCAATGACCATCAAGAGTAATCTGAAGATGGGCGCTCTGTGGAGGGCGTGACGAACCAGCGGCGTTGAGTGAACCGGTCAAGTTGACACGGGCCACAGCACTGACCACCTGTGGCTGGAAAGGTGAAGGCTGTGGTACCGGAGTCTAAAATGGAGACACCGCCATTGGAGTTTGCAGGGGCATTGTTCCAGCGCCTGGAAGGGCAAATGGAAACATGCCCGGGAGGAATGGCATCCCCCCATTCTGCTGGCACATGGCCATGACCTGGCCAAAACCTTGGATGGCTTGTAGGTTGGCCGGGTCATTCATTAACTGGGTCATGCTTGGCGGCAAGGTGACCCTTGGTCCAACGGAAGGGACTGGGATTGAGAATGGCTAGCCATGCTCGATGTAGGGATGTGAGTTAATCCCAACGGCATCGTAGAGGCAGAGTTTGCCGGTTGGCTAGCCATGCCGGTTGGACGTTGACCCCCTCAACGGTGGCTTGCACCTGAGCAGAAGTGGCGTTGATTTGCTGGCTTGAAGACATTCTGAGTGGTGTTTTTGTGGGTAGGTTTTGTGTTTAGATGAAAAGAAACCTTAACGGTCCCACGGTCGGCACCAAAAATGATGGTGTAAATTACCTAACCGGGTAAACTATACTAGACCGGGTCTAGGATTGTTTACTTGATTCGGAGAGTAAAAAAGTAAAAACACACAAATGACCAAGAAGACTGTAGGTGGAAACACCTGTAGCCCAAATGATATTAATAATAAAGGAGAATACACGGGAGCTTTACAAGGGAGTTTAGAGAGAAGGAATTCGGATCCCTTCCTTCGAAGGTTACATCAGTATTTATACTAAGCTAAAGGGGACAAGGCGTTGTGCACCCACGTTGAGGCACGTTACTGGGATGGCGCGAGGTTATTGCCTTTGTGTTATAGCGGTCTTGTTGCCTAGTGAGGAAGCGTACTCCTGATCGTAGTAATTCTTGGAGTATAAACCTTCCCAGTAAAGGGTTAGTTTTATCCCCGAGTTGTCGTTCTCTAGATGAGTGGACGAAGGGAATTAATTCAACTTCTCTAGTTAGGCGAAAGTTTAGATTGGTTTATGAAGTCTTCTCGGTGCGATAATTAAAAAGAGAGAATAAAAAGAAAAGAAAATTTATTCACATAGTATAAGCAAAGGCTGGACCTAGGGCCAGGACATCATTTGGGTTAAGTAAAATAAATTAAATTAATATTTGGAAAAATCGCATTTCTACTACCACTCATCTATATCTAGATTCGTGATTACCCTAAACTGTTCTTGAATAAATAAGCCTTCCGGCGTAAAATATTTTCTCAATAAAAAGTTAATTAAATGTTTCCATATTAATTAGCTTGATAAGGCAAGAGCAGATTTTAGAATAAAAATTCCATCATTAATTTAGTTAATAAAAGTAGAAACCC